AATATTTTGAACTCATTGGTCGTATAGGCTATAGCCAATATTTTGATCTCATTGGTCGTATAGGCTATAACCAATATTTTGAAGTCATTGGTCGTATAGCTATAGCCAATATTTTGAACTCATTGGTCGTATAGCTATAGCCAATATTTTGAACTCATTGGTCGAATAGGCTATAGCCAATATTTTGAACTCATTGGTCGTATAGGCTATAGCCAATATTTTGATCTCATTGGTCGTATAAGCTATAACCAATATTTTGAAGTCATTGGTCGTATAGCTATAGCCAATATTTTGAACTCATTGGTCGAATAGGCTATAGCCAATATTTTGAACTCATTGGTCGTATAGGCTATAGCCAATATTTTTAACTCATTGGTCGTATAGCTATAGCCAATATTTTGAACTCATTGGTCGAATAGGCTATAGCCAATATTTTGAACTCATTGGTCGTATAGGCTATAGCCAATATTTTTAACTCATTGGTCGTATAGCTATAGCCAATATTTTGAACTCATTGGTCGAATAGGCTATAGCCAATATGTTGAACTCATTGGTCGTATAGCTATAGCCAATATTTTGAACTCATTGGTCGTATAGCTATAGCCAATATTTTGAACTCATTGGTCGTATAGCTATAGCCAATATTTTGAACTCATTGGTCGAATAGGCTATAGCCAATATTTTGAACTCATTGGTCGTATAGGCTATAGCCAATATTTTGAACTCATTGGTCGAATAGGCTATAGCCAATATTTTAAACTCATTGGTCGTATAGGCTATAGCCAATATTTTGAACTCATTGGTCGTATAGGCTATAGCCAATATTTTGAACTCATTGGTCGAATAGGCTATAGCCAATATTTTAAACTCATTGGTCGCATAGGCTATAGCCAATATTTTGAACTCATTGGTCGTATAGGCTATAGCCAATATTTTGAACTCATTGGTCGTATAGCTATAGCCAATATTTTGAACTCATTGTGTGACTAACCTTTCCCCCGCCGCCCACTGGACGCGTGCAAGGGGTCATGAGTCATGATAGACAAATCCAATCAGAATGTAACTAGGTCACCGCCTATGTAAATAACTTAAACAGACATTAAGGTTCAGTTTCTGAACTCACTGCATAACTCTGTAACCTTTACGGCTCCGCCCACAGGGTGGATATGAGCTTTTTGATGTGCAAATTAAGCTTAGTGTATTGAAGATTCCAGTACGTTATAAGTATTTTATTTTTATTCATCAAAGCCACTAAGACTGTTCTGTATGTGAAGCTTTGACGCTGAATAAATAATTGTACACTCCAAGCAACAGCCTGGTGGACCAAACTCTCACAAGTCAAGCCTGGCCTCGGGCCGGGCTTGGGGAGTAGAAGAACTCCCAGAACCCCATCAACCAGGTACATTATGTACTTTATCTCACCCCATGTTCACGATGTGTGTGTGTACCTCCACTCTGTGTACACCATGTGTGTACCACCACTCCATGTACACGAAAATGTGACATAAACATGTAATCAGCTCCTGTTTTCAACAATGTTCACCTTAAAGATATTTTCATATCCATTGCTTGGTATGTCTGTCTGTCCCAGTAACTGGACGGGTAGAGGTCTCTCCGCGCCAGGAATTACGGGTCGCCATCACCCTTATAACGTCTTTGTGACGGCATAAAACGCAAAATTATAAAAATCACATTAATGTGATGCATCGGTGAGAAAATGAGAACATCTGATATCTTATACGTTCGTTAGGTTAGGCAATGTCAGGTCAGGTCAGGTCAGGTTTGTTTATAGAGTAGCGATGACGTAGAGAGGTGCATAGTTTATTTTTTTAAGCTCTTGGACTTATTGTTTTTTTAGGCGTCCTCTCCTCGACCGCGTATAGGCCTATGACCACACCCTTAACGCACAAAAAAACTACATTATCGTACTCTTGGAACGGAAACCATCTTCTCGAGGAAACATGGAGAGAGAGAGAGAGAGAGAGAGAGAGAGAGAGAGAGAGAGAGAGAGAGAGAGAGAGAGAGAGAGAGAGAGAGAGAGAGAGAGAGAGAGAGAGAGAGAGAGAGAGAGTGAGAGTGCGAGTGAGTGAGTGAGTGAGTGAGTGAGTGAGTGAGTGAGTGTGTGTGTGTGTGGGATTCAGTTATCGCACTTGACTACCCTCGAGTACAGGCACATTAAAACAAGCACAGAGATAATATAAGTTTCTGTGTTTATCTAGGCCTAGCCCCTGGCCAGGTAGAGGAGGAGGAGCAAGGTTCACAGGGAGGAGATGCCGGCCAGGTGAACTAAATCAATATTCAACCACCGCCCCCTGCCTCCCCCCCCCTACCTGGACGGTGACACTAATTGGAAAATCCGCCCATGACTACATACCAGTGTGTGTCCCTTACGTGCTGGTTAACAACCAGTCACCCAACACTGACGGTACACCTAGAGTCAGTATGGCGCCCCCGTACACAATACATCTATCGTTGTAACCCCTCCAAAAAATGGTTCACGTTTTCTACTGTTTATTTTGAAGAGCGCTCGAGAAAGCTACCTAACCTATCCTTATATCTTTCGTAGGTCTAGTATAGTATAGTATGTCATATATTATATATATAAGCAACAACCTTTTAGATCAAGGGTGGTGCCAGTCTCCAGGAGGAAGAAGAACTCTGGGAACGGGCTACAGGTAAACTCCCAGGTAATACATTGACGAGAGCTGAGATCGTGCCTGCGAGCGTCAAGCTCCCATATGGTCTTACGAAAGGAAGAGCGTATGCGCATACATATACACCGGTGTATACGCATACATATCCGCCTGAGCTCATTATCTCTGGCACACTGGTTGAACACAGCCGCTTCATAAACGTCCCACTAAGCACACATGTGTAATCCTGTACCTACACACGTCCCCCAAGAACTACACGTAGGCCCCCCCCCCCCCATGAACCTACATATATATAGCGTTATGAACCTGCACACAGCCGAAGAAACCAACATATAGCCCTCTGAACCCTGGTATATTAACCCATGAACCTACAGACTCTAGAACCCCGTATAGTCCTCTGAACCTACAGACAGCCCTCTAGAACCACTGTGCAATCATCTGAATCTACAGACAGCCCTCTAGAACCACCGTATAGTCCTCTGAACCTACAGACAGCCCCCTAGAACCGTTTGAAGCTTCAGACAGCCGCAAAAACCTTGAGAAAGCCCTCTGAACTTGCATATATATATCCCTTTGAACTTATATACATTCCTGGATGCACAGTTGTAATTCTGAACGTCACAGATGTAATCCTGAACGTGCACACATCCTAATGAACACCGTTGCACACCCTAAACGCACAACTATCTAACCGAACGCACAGATAGAACCCGTGAACGCATCACTATTTCACGGAAAGCGCGGATATCTGTCTGAACGTTGAGAAATTGACTTGAACACTTAAATCACCATACGAATGTACATATGTTGTTATTGATTTAGATTTAGCTACTCAGAACGAAATGTCCATGTAGCACGGGCTATGGTGAGCCCGTAGAATGTACATAGATTGATGATTGATAAAGATTAAGCCACCCAAGAGGTTCAAGTTCAAGTATGTTTATTGAGATAAGCAATAAATACATCTCAAAGGGATAGAGTAGCTTAGGCTATTTCTACCCCCCTAACCCAAGAGGTAGCACGGGCATGAATAGCCCGTAATATGTACATGAATGTACATATTTCCCTGAACACTTGTATATCTGCCAGAACACCTGACTATAACTGCGACCCCCCCCCCCCCGTGTAATAACCCAAGAAGTGTGTGCGCGCGCGTGTGTGTGTGAAGATTAAACAAGCGGAGTACTTATTCGTTCTCATAAATGGCTACTGGAATTCAACACCAGCGAGTGTAAGATGATGAACAAAGAGGGAGGTGGGGGGACAGGTAACAATTAAGAAACCAACAACAGGACCGTACACAACGACTGTGAACCACATCCCTAAAACTACTGAAGAGGAAGACATAGGACAAGATATAACCAATCCTCATCAAATAATCTAAGATGAGGTCTGATAAAGATCTTTTGTGCCCTCTGTAATGCTTTTGCGCTACCGCTCACAGGATGAGTATGGGGTGCACAATAAACTAGCCGCCTTCGGCGGCAACAATCAATCAATCAATCCTCATCAGATATAACCCAGAGACACATTAATAGCTGTTATCAACAGCCAAATACACTTACACTGACGAATATCATAACATCCTTTAGGAGTCTAGAGTATGCACGGTGCTCAAGAGAGAGAACTCATAAACGCCTCTACAGGCTGCGAGCAGCCGCCTCCAACAGCCTAGTTCATCAGTCCAGCAACCAGGAGGCCTGGTCGGAACCGGGCCCGGTTCCCGGTTTTTTTAGATATAAAATACATATTTCCATTCCCTCTGTATTTCCCTATCAGGAGAAGCGCCAAGCCAGTAGCACTTAATTGGAAGGGGTCAGGATAAGGATTTGGGATGGGAAGGGGGGAAGGAATGGTGCCCAATCGCTTGGACGGTCGGGGATTGAACACCGACCTGCATGAAGCGAGGCCGTCGCTCTACCGTCCAGCCCAAGTGTCTGGGATATACTGAGGGGAAGAAAAACAGGAGAGGTTCACAGGTTCTCAGAGGGCGAGGATCCAGGTGGAGGCTTGGGACATATGTGAGGACAGGAAACTAGAAGTCAACTCCAAGACTATCAAAAGTAATATATATATATATGATAGAAATTTAGGTTAGGAGTCATTGCTTTAGATGACGGACGGGTGGGAATGCTGGGGTCCAAGAGCAGCAGCTCTTATTTTGTTTGCAAAATAAGGTTAGTAATGATCTATATTTGTCGGCAGGACCGATCTTCAGCTCTCTGAACCCTAACTTCTGAATAGATGAGTATAACACGAAAATGTCCCCCTGAGCCTCACACACACACTCGCACTTTTTCCCAACTTAACTCTCAAATGAACAGTATAACTCGAGAGACAACTTACCTGAGAGTGGCTCACGTTGTAGTGGTTCCTTGACCTTCTCTCCGCTCCTCGTCTCTCTCTCTCCAGCCTTCCTCCTCGCGATGTCTTCATTCACTTTGAGATATCTTCTTTATCTGCACTTTTTCATTTCCTGGGTTCGTGGTTCTGCCATTCACTCTCTGGTGATGTGTCTGAGTTAAATAAATTTGTCCCCTGGTGCCGTCATGATCGCTTCCTTCAAGGTTGGACTACTGCGTTAGTAGTGACCTGACCTCGCTGTGAGCCGCCCTGCTGGGGGTGACGTCAAGTGCTGAGGGTGACGTCAAGACGGCAGTGTGAGGGGACGTCTGGGCGCTGAGACCTGGCCAGTGTGAGGGTACGTCTGGGCGCTGAGACCTGGGCAGTGTGAGGGTACGTCTGGGCGCTGAGACCTGGCCAGTGTGAGGGTACGTCTGGGCGCTGAGACCTGGGCAGTGTGAGGTGACGTCTGGGCGCTGAGACCTGGCCAGTGTGAGGTGACGTCTGGGCGCTGAGACCTGGGCAGTGTGAGGTGACGTCTGGGCGCTGAGACCTGGCCAGTGTGAGGTGACGTCTGGGCGCTGAGACCTGGCCAGTGTGAGGTGACGTCTGGGCGCTGAGACCTGGCCAGTGTGAGGTGACGTCTGGGCGCTGAGACCTGGGCAGTGTGAGGTGACGTCTGGGCGCTGAGACCTGGCCAGTGTGAGGGTACGTCTGGGCGCTGAGACCTGGCCAGTGTGAGGTGACGTCCGAGTGCTGGGATTCAGAGCGGGAGAGGGTTCTCTTGAACACACATTCTCCTCCATAGCCGTCCATGAGGCGGCGTCAGGTAAACGTTGTGAGTCGTTGAGTGTTTCCGTGTAGTGATAAGGACGCGAGGTCACCTGGCTCCAGTCCTCTTAACGTGGGCCACACTTGTGTCTCACCGTAGCGGCCATTGTCCCTCTGGTAGCGTTGTCGCTGGTTGCCGCTCCCTGGACACTTGCTGTGTTCGGTCCTCCCTCAGTGACAGGACATATACACGGCAGTTTTGAGCTTCGGTTATGTGAAGCCGTAATTGAGGTTCTCAGAGAGAATTAAGCGCTGGTTTGGAGTGGTTGAAGTGGAGGTAGATGAGGGGGGAGAGAATCATTGGGTCGTACTGGTTGAAGGAGTTCTGTGACGAGGGGAAGGCAACTGGAACAACCGGAAATGAGGTGTGAGGCAGAAAAGATTCGTCACCAGGAGTATTTTGTTGCATTCTTGATGTCTTGTGAGACTTTCTTAACAACTTTCTTCCAAAGTTATCTTTCTGTTCCCTCGTCGTTCTCCTGCTCTTCCTTCTGGTGCTGCTATTCCTCCATCCATGCCCAGGAGCAGCGCCCGGTCGCCACGACACCTGCCCCTCGGGTCATCCTCCTCTTGTTACGGCTGGTCTTCGTGGTGATGTTCCTGCTGCTGCTGGAGGGAGGCCGGCGAGGAGAAGCCCCTGGCGGAGGGGGCAGCCCGCCCTGGGACCCGCTGCTGGCTACTGGTCCCCAACGCTGCCCGTGGCGCCATTTATGTGTCGCCAGCCCTCATTCCCCTTGTTACTGCCAATTGTGAGGGGAGTGTGAGCGAGGGGTGCTACTGACGGCCCTCTCTGTGTCTCCCCCTCTCTCTCTCTCTCTCTACCTCTCCTCCCCTCACCCACCGTGCCCCGTACCCTCAGCCTCGCCCACCGTTATCTCTGGTTACACACTCCCCTCAGTCCTGCCCACCCGTATGTGTTGTCTCGTGGTTAGAGGGGATGGAAGGGGGTGAAGGGAGGGAGGGAGGGTGGGAGGAAGAGGGTGAGGGAGGGAGGTGGGTTGGGTAAGGGAGAGAAAGAGAAGTTAATGGCGGGTCTTTTGTTGCTCTGTTTCTGTTTTTTTTATTGTGTAGTTTGTTTGTTTCTTCTTGTTCCTCCTCCTCTCTAACCCCCCCCCCATCCCTCCGTCTTTGTCTACTCTGTGTCTGTCTGTCTGTCTGTCTGTCTGTCTGTCTGTCTGTCTGTCTGTCTGTCTGTCTGTCTGTCTGTGTCTGTGTCTGTGTCTGTCTGTCTGTCTGTCTGTCTGTCTGTCTGTCTGTCTGTCTGTCTGTCTGTCTGTCTGTCTGTCTGACTGTCTGTCTCTGTCTCTGTCTCTGTCTCTGTCTCTGTCTACTCTCTCTCTCTCTCTCTCTCTCTCTCTCTCTCTCTCTCTCTCTCTCTCTCTCTCTCTCTCTCTCTCTCTCTCTCTCTCCTCTCTCCCTCTCTCTCCCTCTCTCTCTCTCTCTCTCTCTCTCACCCTCTCTCTCTCTCTCTCTCCCTCTCATACCCTCTCTCTCTCTCTCTCTCTCTCTCTCTCTCTCTCTCTCTCTCTCTCTCTCTCTCTCTCTCTCTCTCTCTCTCTCTCTCTCTCTCTCTCTCTCTCTTCTCTCTCTCTCTCTCTCTCTCTCTCTCTCTCTCCTCTCTATCTCTCTCTCTCTCTCTCTCTCTCCTCTCTCTCTCTCTCTCTCTCTCTCTCTCTCTCTCTCTCTCTCTCTCTCTCTCTCTCTCTCTCTCTCTCTCTCTCTCTCTCTCTCTCTCCTCTCTCTCTCTCTCTCTCTCTCTCTCTCTCTCTCTCTCTCTCTCTCTCTCTCTCAGCTCTCTCTCTCTCTCTCTCTCTCTCTCTCTCTCTCTCTCCAGTGCATGTTTCTAGGACGACTTAAGCGCCCATTCTCTAATAACCTGTCCTCCTCCTAACAGAACGTCGCATCTAGTTCTAAATATACGTACTAGAAAATGGTAGCAGCTCGCGAAAGTGCCATACTTTCCCGTTTTCTGTTTTGGGTCCTCTGGTAGGTTAGGATAAGGGCTCTTTAGTACGAAAGTTTCTTGACATTGAGAAAACTTAGGGGTATAATTCCTCCATATAGTTATAAGTCACAGCTACACTAGAGTAAGGTCAACTTATATGATAACATTAATATTTATATTACTTGATCATCTAGATATATAACAAAATACCTTATTACTAGGTATATGTTTCCTAGTACCCTGTTACTAGAGCTCCGGGATATATACCTAGTGTATTACCGTAGATTAACAACCTATACTGCAGATCAAATCTACACTGACGGGTCATCTAATCCTGTCAATGGCAGGGCTGGTGCAGCATACACGGTAATCAAGGATAATACTTTCCAACGCAGAAATGAAGAAAAAGCACGTATTGAGAACTATGCCTCTTCAACGCAAGCAGAGCTAACTGCCATTGTTATGGCGTTAAGGTTTCTTGAACGGAACACTAATGGTGCAGTGATCTGCACTGATTCAAAAGCAGCACTTTAAAGCCTAAGTAAAAATCGGGCAGAAAATCTTGCAATAGTCGCTGAAATTAAGAGAGCTGTGAGAGTACTTACCAATCAGGGAAGAGTCATCAAGTTTCTGTGGATCCCCTCCCATGTTATATAAAATAAATAAATAAATATGTTTATTCAGGTAAGGTACATACATACAAGTGATGTTACATTAATGGATTGATATAAAGATAGAGCTAGTACATACAATGCCTAAAGCCAATATTACGCAATGCGTTTCGGGCAAAAAAAAATGTTTCGGACAAAAAAAAAACATATTCCAAAATGTTGGAATATGTGGGAATGAACGAGCAGATGTGCTGGCTGCTGAAGGCGCTGAAGGAGACCATATTGAATACTTCATACCCAAAACTCTACTACAAATTAGAGGTATTATCAGGCAACATCACCGTGACAAGGTAACTGAGGAAAGGAGGATAGAAGCACAAACCAGTGAATCTGTACGATGGTACAACACGGTTGCAGCCGGCAATCCCAATCATTATGGCCGAAGAGGAGGAGGACGCGGGAGAGAATCAGTAATAGCGAGAATCTGTCTTGGATACAAATATCCTTGGAGATATGGAATGGAAACAACTGTTGATCAGCGAAGTTGCAGAATCTGTGATGAGAGTGACGGACACCGCCTTGACCACTATCTACGTGAATGTGAACACCTGAGAGACATCAGAAATATGTGTAGAATAATAAACTCCACATTGTTTGAATTAGGAAAACGCTATTTGTCAAATATTGATACTGTTCTTAAAAGATTCCCCCATTTTGCATCCGCTAGATAACGTAAGCTTTTAAGGGTTGACAGATGTTAATCTTCTTGTTTGAGGAGCTGTTTGTGAGATTTTCTCTACGCCTACCTCCCTTAGGAGGTGGACTACAAGTTTAAAGTCTGCTCACGGCAGTTAAGCATGAGTCCAATAGAAAAAAGAAAAGCGGGAGCAAACCGCCAGGCCTCCACCACTAGGGGTGAAAACCTGTCCACAATAGGCCGCTGGCTCCTCCTAGTTAAACAGGACGTTAAAACTAATAAAGGGTAACCGACGGGTTCTCACAATCAAATATTTATATTTGATGTGGCGCTATGAATTGGAATTCGAATTCCCAAGAACAGCCGTCATATCAAGATCACATCAACATTTAATCGTAATATGCATAAATATGGTGGAATAATATGGTTGAAGGGTTGACATCAAAGACCGTTTTCTATAACATAACAATTTATTAATAACAAGAGACTAACTACTACATTACCGAGTTTACGTTACGTTAATGTCCATCCAGTGGCACGATAACAAACAGCTAAATAGCAACCCTTGCTGTGAGGCTGCATACTGAACTAACCTGAACACAGGTGTGCCCACTGATGACGCAATATTGTAAATCAAAGAAAAATGTCACAGACTAAGTTACACCACAGCGAATGGTTACGTTATTGTACATCAAGTGGCATTTGCAACACAGCTATTCAACAGCCCCTCGAGAAGTGACAGCAGGCTCCATCTTGCTGACACTTCGGGCTGACAACATGAACTAACTGAACAAATGAAGGATATCCACTGAAGACACAAGCATGCAATCAATAGTGTCTCGGTTTCCCTGACAGCTACTATAATCACAAGCTTAGGGGTCCTCCCTCCCCCCAGGAGAGACCCACGTAACTAGGCGGGTAGTCCAACAGTGACCTCCCCCCCCTATCACAACCCAGTGTGAACACTCTTTGCAACTCCCTACAAGAAGTTGCCCTGTAAATAGTAACAAAGACAGGCAAGGCGGGATTCTGGGACACAGCTCCACAAATCCCTAGATTACTCTACTCTCGTCACCAGACGACAACCAAAAGAAATTGCCTTAAGTGATTAATTACGTTAATTGACTGATCGCAGCAGTCAGCAACAAAGTACTACGGTAATCACAAACAATTGTCTCACACTAGACAACATCATGATGATACTCTACGTTAATCATTAACACTTGTCTCTCTTGTTAACAATAACTCAAACTTATATTACATCACACTTGACTCCTTGCAAGTATTCAGTGAGTAATTCTTAATTAAGGTCAAACGGACCACTAATTACATCCCCATTGAGTTACGTTAACTAAGCCTACCCTAACTTGGCAGCTTCTCAACAGTCTGTGTCAAAAAATTACTAGTGAGTGTTAATTACCCTAATTAAGCTCCGAGTAATTAATTAACTGTCACCAGGACCGATAATTAATCATCCATAAATACGTCTCACTCCGCACTGCCTAAGCAGGTCTCATCAAACACTGTGAATCCACGGGAAAGGAGTTAATTACCCCTAATTAACAAGATGTGCCACTAATCCACTGTCCTCAGACAGGATATGATTAATACAACGATTTATGCTAGCTCCATGACCTCGCTTTACCGAGTCATCGGAGCTCTCCGATGTTAATTACTCCACTAATTAACATGAGCCACTAATTGCTATACCCCAGAAAGGTAATTAGTCTCGAGCAAATTACGTTAACACAAATACTGACAGACTCTGACAGATCCTCTCCCACTACGTGAATTCATGATGAGAAGGCTAATTACATAATTAGCTAGAGTGGTCAATTAGTTGTCACACGGACAATTAATTGCTCCCGAGACGTATCTCACTCAAGCTCAACACTGTTCTCTCTCATAACAGCCCTCACTCACTCAACAATAAGTGTGCACCCCTTATCCAGTTAATTCCCCAATTATTAACTCACTGAATCCTTAAGTCCTCAACATAACTTAAAGAAACAAAGTAACCCCAGTGTTACATAGGTCACACTACAATGGCATGCAACAACACAAATGCACTGCCCACATACGGTTGCGGCTACTGCAACTCGTTAATTACTGTGCCCACACAATAATGACACACGGTTGTGCAACACACAAGAGTATACCAATAATACTGCCCCCTTTTCTTGCAACCGTTGCAAAGGACTACTGTGAACACACACTTACCTCAGCAAGGTAATTAACCCATCAATTGCTTGCTCTCATTAAGCACTGTGAATTCCCCTGAATAATCCTAGAGGTCCCTTAAACCTTCAACACAGCTCCCAGGGCAGCAATATCGTATAAACTGATAACAATACTGCAAAAACCTGCAACATAATGATGCCGTCAGCATACCCCACATGCTAATGACATCATTAGGCAATCAGTCAGCAATCACATCTACTGACTCACCACACAACACAGTACATAAACATGCAAATGAACACATAGAAATGGCATTCACATAATGAAAATTATATCATCAGGTAAATGTATCTCTACCTACACAGACCTCAGGGTACCCACTGACATCCCTGCCACCTGGCCTGTCTACCTCTAATGATTATAATTTTACATGCTGATACTCATAACACTAATCCAGTCTGACCGATTAT